GGCTAAATTTTTATATTTTTGGTAGAGATGGGTTTTCACCATGTTGGCCAGGCTGGTCTCAAACTCCTGGCTTCAAGTGATCCACCCCCCTCGGCCTCCCAAAGTGCTGGGACTACAGGCATGAACCACCACACCCCACCAAAAAAAAATAGTCTTTAATATTTTTAAAGGTCAGCTTTCCTCCCTGGGCAAAAGATTTGGAGGCAGTGGGTTTCCTTGCAAGCAGCCAGATCTGGCCAAACCTCTCTGGGCTTTGCCTTCCTGCTTTGTAATATCAGCAAATTATCCTTACCTCACGGGGGGAGTCTGTGTGAATCGGTGAAGACAGCATCTGTAAAACCACCAAGGGAGACTGGCACACGGAAGAGACCCAGACAGCTGAGCCTCTGCCTGCCCCAGCTTCCAGCTCCTTCTTGTCACACCCGCTGAATACCAAGCCTGTGACATCAGCATGCTCATTGGAAGCGGGTGCTGGAATTGTCACTGGCTCTTTCTGAATCCCGCAGATGCTGTCCCCAGAGCCTGCATTTCGGCATCTGGTTACACTGTACATGGTGGCAAATTTGACAGGTGCCCATCTCCCAACCCTTTGACCTCTACCTGCCCCCTCTCAGCACCTGCAGTGCATGAAGCCAGTGTCAGCACCTTTAGCACCCCAAGCTGCCCCACCTCCCACTTCCTGAGCCCAGTAGCAGGGGCTCAGGCATCGGTGGAGGAAAATGCTCTGCAGCTTTTGCAAACTGATATGGAAAAGAGAGTTTGGGATATGGTGGCTCACGCCTGTAATCCCAGCACTTTGTGTGGCCGAGGCAGGCAGATCACTTGAGGTTGGGAGTTCGAGACCAGCCCAGCCAATACAGTGAAATCCTGTCTCTACCAAAATACACAAATTAGTCGGGCGTGGTAACATGCACCTGGAGTCCCAGCTACTCGAGAGGCTGCGGCAGGAGAATCGCTTGAACCCAGGACGTAGAGGTTGCAGTGAGCCGAGATTGCGCCACTGCCCTCTAGATTGGGTGACAGAGCAAGACTCCGACTCAAAACAAAAACAAACGAGAGTTTGGGAAGCTGAAAATTGGGGACTGTAAAAGTGTTCTGCAAGCCTTCAGTGCTGTCATCCCCCTGTGCGAGCCTCCGCCCACGACCAAGGTGGCTTTAGATCTCCCGTTCTGGGCCCATCTATGTCGCCCTCCACACACTCAAACGCCATCCTAGGATTCTCCCCTGCGGAGCCTGATGCTGATGGAAAGGAGAAGGCTCAGCGCCGCTCACACCACACCTTGAGCTTCCAATCCAGTGGGAAAGACAGCTTTGATCTATGACACTGACTCAAATCCTTCCCTGGCCGGGAGGCTGTCGGTCCTGGGAGCAGCCCCAGCCAAACTCTGTCTGGGCCTTACAGGCAAGACCTCCCAGCTGGGCACGCAGCCGGGGTGTGGGAGGTGTGTTGGGGCCACTGATGCAGCTGCCCTCCCAAATGTGAGTCCGCTGAGCAGGACCCGGCCTCACTCCCACCTGCTTTCACTCATCCTGCCCTGGCAGTGCCCACTGAGCTCAGGTGAAGATGCCAACGAGCCCAGAATGTCACACAGGCCAGCCTGCTGCCGACTGCTTTCCTGACTCCCTGAGGCATGACCACAGCTCTGCTGGGTCACCGGGAACATCGCCGCCCCGGGGATGGAAAGGAAGAGAGTGTTGCTGTCTGAATCTTCAGTGCATGCTTTCCCCCCGCTTTTTGTTTGTTTGTTTGTTTGTTTTGTTTTTTGAGATGGAGTTTCATTCTTGTCACCCAGGCTGAAGTGCAGTGGTGCAATCTTGGCTCACTGCAACCTCCACCTTCCGGGTTCAAGTGATTCTCCTGCCTCAGCCTCCCAAGTAGCTGGGATTATAGGTATACACCACCATGCCTGACTACTTCTTGTATTTTTAGTAGGGACGGGGTTTCACCACGTTGGCCAGGTTGGTCTCAAACTCCTGACCTCAGATGATCCACCCACCCCAGCCTCCCAAAGTGCTGGAATTACAGGCACGAGCCACCGCGCCCGTTGTCCCCTCTCTACATCACACACCCAGTGCACAGCCTAGAATGCTCCCAGGACAGGGCCTTGCCCACTGGAGAGAATGGCCTAGGAAGCTTCTTTTCCTTTCCTGTACTACTTATCATGCATTCAGAGGACATCCAAGGTCTGGGCTTGGGTGAAGTGGAATCCTGGGAAAATCACTTCCAGAATGATGCTGGGGAAGAGAAAGTGTTTATGGGAAGCATGTCCTGAATTGAAGTGAGGGGTGGAAATGTGGCCAAAGCCCTTCAGAATGCCCTCCATGTTCTCACCAGACTATCTACAGTTGGAAATTCCACCATTAGTGATTCATTCCTTTGGCTGACACCCCTGAAATCGTGTGATCTTCAGGATCAACAGAACTAATGAGGAGAGCAGATGGTGTTGTGCATTTGTTATCCTACTGCATCTTCAAGCAGCCCATAAAGTACTGCCTTACTATACCCATTTAGCAGCTGAGAACACTGAGGCTCAGAGAGGTTAGGAAATTGACAAAAGCTCCCACAATGCTGGGGTCATGCTGGATTTGATCCCAAGTCCAGCAAGACACAGTCCCTCCCTCCAGGAGCTCCCAGGTCTGGGACTGGCGCAAGTAGCTGCATGATGAAGGACGGGGCTCCAGGCCGTGATGCGGGGGGGCAGGGAGCATGACAGGGAGCAGAAGGAAAGCCCCTAAGTCAGAGGAAGGCCAGAAGTTCCCCAATGCTGATGCCTGAGCTGAACTTTCAAGGATGAGTAGGAGTAAGTTGGGTGGACAAGGAGATCAACAGTTCCCACCAGCAGGACCAGCACCTCCAAAGATCCAGGGGCATGAAGGGGCAAGCTGTCCTGGGGAAATGCAAGCCCAGATGCCCAGGAGGAGGGGGCACAGGAGGTGCAGGTGTCAGATTGAGGAGTCAGCAGCTGCTATGGGGCCACTAAAGAAGTCCCAAGTCATCCAAATAAGAAAATAAGCCAAAGTATCTTAGAAGAAAAGAAGGAGAAGGAGAAGGAGGAGAAGAGGAGGGGGAGGAGGAGGAAGAACAAGAAGAAAAACAACAACAACAAGAACAAGAAGAAGAGAGAAGAAGAGGAGGAGGAGAAGGAGGAAGAGGAAGGGGAGGAGGAGGAAGAGGAAGGGGAGGAGGAGAAGGAGGAAGAGGAAGGGGAGGAGGAGGAGGAGGAAGAGGGGAGGAGGAGGAGGAAGGGGAGGAGGAGGAGGAAGGGGAGGAGGAGGAAGGGGAGGAGGAGGAAGGGGAGGAATGGGAGGAAAGGAGGGAGGGAAGGAGGAAGAGGAGGAGGAAAGAAGGAAGCAAAGAAGAAGGAGAAGTAGTCCCAAGTCTCTGGTCCCAGAAGGTGCTTTGGTGTCCATCAGCGTCTTGATCACAGGATTTTATCTTGGCCTGACATGGTGCCATGCCTTGGGAGGTCTCCTAAACAGCACCCCAGAACCCCCAGAACCCTCTCTCCCAGCCCCAGGCCCAGGCAGAGGTCAAGTTTTCAGTGTCTCTGTCCTCATTTGGGAGCAAGTCTCTCTCCAACCAGCCCTCCCCTGCAAAAGTTTCCCCACTGACCTCCAGCCCTGACCCCAGTTAGTGGGAAATATTTGGTGAGCTCCACAGGGCAGGCTTACCGAAGACAGCTTCCAGGCATTAGGAGTGCCTGTGTAGACATATAATGCTTGTGTAGACACACGTGTGCACACACATGCACATATACACGCACATACACGGGCAGGAGGACAAAAGCTATCCAGCATCCCCCAGCATGGAGGCAGTCTGGTCTGTGAAATGTGTCGAGATAATTTAATACTGGCTTGGACATATGGGGTTCCAGGTGCAGGAGCCCTGGAACCCACTGGAATGTGCTGTAGATAAGCATAAGGCATTCTGTCTGTGCCCACTCCACTCTGGTTGGGAGTCGCAGAATGAGGACCTCCTGATTTGAGACAGATTATTTATCCAGAGAATCTGAGATTCCAATTCAGATCCTGGAGGTGGGCCTGCTACTCACCTCCCCAGTAAATGTCCAGGCAGCATTGGACAAAGATGCTGGCCCCGCCCTGACGGGGACTGAAGAACAGGTCCCCAGAAGCCTTGTTGTTGGGGTACTGGGCACTTCAGAGGTTGAGGGGACCTGGAACAGTCTCCCTAGATCCATGTGCCTTCCTTTTGGGGTACACCTGAGTAGCCTCTAACAGCCACTGATTGGCACCAAGACAGAATCCAAAGGTTGGTATCACAAACCTTAAGTATGGAACAGGGAGCAAGTGCCCAGGGACTGTTTGCCCCATCTTATGAATGAATGGCTCTTGTAATGTCTGTGGATTTTTGGGGATGGGAAGAAATGGCCAAGTAACAGCATCCTCATCCCCAACTGTACTGAGAACCAACTACGGTGGAACAGAACATCAGGGGCTGCGTGGGTGTGTGCCTCAGTTTCCCTCTACTGCCCCAAAACTGCCTACTCCAGGAGCTTCCCAAAAGGGAAGGGGAGATGAGGAGATAGGCATGCAAATGCCCATTTGGAGATTTTCAGCTACTCTGGCCATGATCCCATTTCAGAGCACACCAGACAGGAAGGGCAAAGAGGTCGCATCATGAGTGCCAAATTGATTGGTACTGGCTGCCCAGAACACAGTGCTGGGAAGAATTCTGACATCACCCACGTGCTGCACTTGATTGGTGATGTCTGCCATGGTCACAGCCATTCACCATCCCTCATCTACAAGCTGGGCTGTTCCCTTTCCCTGAACGGGAGACAATTCGGCAGCCTGGACTTTGGTAGCAGAGAGGGAGGCCCTGGCCACCCAGGTATGAACAAGCCACAGGACTCCTTGCCAGATTCCTCAGGACCTTTGAAACACAGATTGGCCTGTCATTCCCCAATTTTCCAGGACCACACCTGCTTCCTTTTCTGAAGATGTTAATGTTGCTTGTATTAGGAAACACTCATCTAAAATAGAAACACATTACAGGGTTAATTTCTCCTCTGTGAGAATGGCTAAATGCTTTCTTTCTCGCTGGGGACTCGAGGGACGATCTGGTCGTCACCAGAAGTCACCTCAGAGCCATCAAGAACTCTACCCAATGAAGGGAAGACAGGCCTTCGCGCTGTGCTCTGGGTTAACGTTCGCCAAAACACTTCCTGTGGTGCTGCACTCCTAAAGCCCAAGTGACCTCTGGAGTCTGGGTCACCTCATTTGGACACCTTGGTGTGCAGGGTGCTGGGCAGATAGAGGTATCTCCAGATGGCATAGTAGTGGGTACCAGCACCAAATGCTACAAAGAGATGCCAGATGGCGTGGGCAAAGGGGATCCTCCCGTCACTCTTGAAGAAGACCATGCCCAGGCAGTAGAAGACCCCTCCGGTCACCAGCTCCCAGATGCCCTCGGTGTTGGGCTGTCGGCAAGGACAAGGGTGGGGCACAGGTCAGAGGGGCAGCCACTGTGGCTGGAAGTACCAGCCAGTCCCCACCACCCAAAACTAAAAGACACACAGGTGGCAAACCAGCCCAGACTCCCAGGTGGGAAGCCTCAACACTGATATGCCAGCGATTCTCCCCAGACTAGTTCTTAGATGTCCCATTTCTATTAAAATCTCACCCATTTTTTTTTTTTTGAGATGGGGTCTCAGTCTGTTGCCCCAGCTGGAGTGCAGTGGCACAAGCGTAGCTCACAGTAGCCTCCAACTCCAGAAACAATCCTCCTGCCTCAGCCTCCTCAGTAGCTGGGACTATAGATATCCCATGGTGCCACCATGCCTGGCTAATTTTATTTTATTTTTGGAGATGGGGGCATCTCACTATGTTGCCCAGGCTGGTCTCAAACTCCTGGCCTCCAGTGATTCTCCCACCTCGGCTTCCCAAAGTGCTGGCATTACAGGGGCGAGCCACCACACTCAGCCTCAAATAATATTTGTATAACTTACCTGTTTTTGTTTTTGTTTTTGTTTTTAAGATGCAGTTGCTCTTTTGCCCAGGCTAGAGTGCAGTAGCAAGATCTCAGCTCACTGCGACCTCTACCTCCCGGGTTCAACCCATTCTCCTGCCTCAGCCTCCTGAGTAGCTGGAACTACAGGCATGCGCCACCATGCCCAGCTAGTTTTTGTATTTTTAGTAGAGATAGGGTTTCACCATGTTGGCCAGGCTGGTCTCAAACTCTTGACCTCAGGTGATCTGCCCACCTTGGCCTCCCAAAGTGGTGGGATTATAGGTGTGAGCCACTACGCCTGGCCTATAGCTTATCTTTTGTAAAAATGTAATACATCTGGGTATATACACAAATAATTGAAAGCAGGGTCTTGACACATATTTGCACACCCATGTTCATAGCAGCATAATCACAACAACAAAAGGAGGAAGCAACCCAGGGGTCCACCAAGGAATGAATGGATAAACAAAACGAGCTCGAGGCCAGGCGCCTCACGGTGGCTCACACCTATAATCCCAGCACTTTGGGAGCTAAGGAGGGCAGATCATGAGGTCAGGAGTTCGAGACCAGCCTGGGCAACATGGTGAAACCCCGTCTCTACTAAAAATACAACAATTAGACAGGAGTGGTGGCGCATGTCTGTAATCCCAGCTACTCAGGAGGCTCAGGCATGAGAATCATTTGAATCTGGGAGTTGGAAGTTGCGGTGAGCCAAGATCATGCCACTGCATTCCATGCTGGGTGACAGAGTAAGACTCTGTCTCAAAAAAAAAAAATAAAATAATGAGGACAGGACAGAGTTATAGTTTGCAGAGATGCAAAAAGTTCTGGAGATGGTTGGTGGTGATGGTCGCATGACAATGTGACTGTGCTTACAGCCACTGGACTGAATATTTTACCACAAGTTTTTAAAGTAATGGCATGGCAAAAAAAAAAAAAAAAAAGAGAGGTAGAGAAAATAATTTTTGTTTTGCTTCATGGCAAAAAATATTTAGAGAAAAAAACATGGTAGGAAAAATGTAGTAGTCCTGGCCCCCGGATGTGAGTACTATTAACATGAGTTGTTCTTAATAAAAGAAACTCTCTGCAGGGCACGGTAGCTACGCCTGTAATCCCAGCACTTTGGAAGGCCAAGGTGGGCTTAAGCCCAGGATATCGAGACCAGCCTGGGCAATATAGTGAGACTCCCATCTCTAAAAAAAAAAAAAAAAAAGCAGCAGCAGCAGAAAAAGAAACACTCATAGGATAGGAGGGAATTGAGCAAGAAGAACCTGCCAAGCCCTCACCAGGCCAGGAATTCAAGACTATTCTAGGCAACATAAGGAGATCCTGCCTCTACAAAAAAAAAAAAAAATTGTTCTTTTGAAACAGAGTTTCACTCTTGTAGCCCAGGCTGGAATGCAGTGGTGCGATCTCAGCTCACTGCAACCTCTGCAACCTGAGTTCAAGAGATTCTCCTGCCTCAGCCTCCAGAGTAGCTGAGACTATAGGTGTGCATCACCTCTGGCAAATTTTTTTTTTTTTTTTAGAGATGGGTCTTGCTGTGTTGCCCAGGCTGGTCTCAAACCCCTGGACTCAAACTATCCTCCCGCCTCAGCTTCCCAAAGGACTGGATTATAGGCATGAGCCACTGCGCCTGGCCTACTGCCTCTTTAGACAAGTCATGCCAGGCCTCAGTTTCCCCACCTGCCATAGGAGAGTGTGACAATCTCAACAGCCAAGTCCAGCCCAGACACTCTTGGTCCCTTGCAGGGACCCATCCACGCAGGGCTGGCAGCACTTACCATGGAGAGGATGACCAGGGCAGGGAAGAAGCCCATCACGATGTAGCAGAGAAGCTCCACAAGCTTGTACCTGGCAGGAAGACAAGCCATGCCAGCCTTAGGACATGCCTCCCCACAAGGAAACCGCACACAGCTCCGTGTTCCTGGGGAAGAGGGAACACTCTGGCCAGAACAGTGAGAAGAAAGGACGCTTTCTCTGCCCAGCACGACTTGGCTCAGATTTCACCCAGCTACATCCAACAGGTGCTGGCAGTTGTGTGACCTTGGGTACTTTCCCTCCCTGAGACTCAGTTTCCACATCTGTGAAATGCATGCTGGTGCCACAGCAAGGATTACAAACATTGGGCATAGCACACACGGGCACTTCCTATGCTCAGCCCATGGCAGACATCACTATTCGATCCCAGCATCTCTTCCCATAGGGCCCAAGCAGCCACTTCCAATCGAGCTGGGTTGCTGCAGCAACCGAAGCCTCTTTGCTGTCCCTGGACTAAATGACTTCCAGAGGTTCCTGGGCTCTGAGACTGCAGAAAGTCTGTTATTCTCTTTTGCTTCTATCATCCTGTTTCTATAATAATCCCACTGAATTATTTCCATCCCCATCACTCGGCAGAATGGGGATACAGAGAGTGTGGCTCTTTCAGGACCTCTCCCTTCATCTGCTAATAATTTAGGGAGGGCAGGTGGCATGTGACCACCCCCACCCCACCCCGGTTCAATGGGGCTGGGAACCTATGTTTTTTATTGTTTGTTTGTTTTTTAGACAGAGTCTCCCTCTGTCGCCCAGGCTGGAGTGCAGTGGCGCAATCTTGGCTCACTGCAACCTCCAGCTCCCGGGTTAAAACCATTCTCCTGCCTCAGCCTCCTGGTTAGCTGGGATTACAGGCGCCCATCACCATGCCCGGCTAATTTTCACATTTTTAATAGAGACAGGGTTTCATCATGTTGGCCAGGCTGGTCTCAAACTCCTGACCTCAAGTGATCCTCCTTCTTCGCAGATCACTCGGCCACCCAAAGTGCTGGGATTACAGACGTGAACCACCACGCCTGGCCACCTATGATGTCTTTTTGATAACTTCAAGTTGACCCTAGGGGCTGCAAGACCTGGTGGCCACCCATGAGCCTGAATGGCATGACAGCCAGCGCTGTGCTCTCACGACTATGGCATCATCCTGGGCTCTCAACTGCCCAGGAGTACTGCCCAGGAGGTTGGAGCATCTAAGGGAATCCCGCATCCCTGCAGCCCCCAGGCCCGGCTTACCGCTCATGGAAGAAGAAGACATAGATGGTGCCCACGGAAGCCATAATCCAGACCAGCCAGCGTATGTGGGAGGCCCAGGGGCCCAGCTCCCGAAGGTTCAGCCTGGGAGAGAGAGAGCCAAGGCCATGGCCCTGAGGAGGGCCCACCAAGACCCCAGCCCTTGAGGACTGGCCTGTCACAGGAAATGGACCCCAAGGAAGTCCTGTCACCCGTCACTCCACGGCTGGGACATGGGCGCTCACAGGAAGATGGGTGAACAGGCAGAAAGTGCGCTAGATAACTTGAAACAGCAAGCAATGATTAGAGGAAAATTAGCAAAATTGATAATATCTAGAAGAAAAGGTAAGCAGCACCTCAAACTGGCAGGATGATGAACAGGTAAAGCCTGTTTGGAGGGAATTGTGCATTCTCCGTCACTGCAGTTCCGGCAGCTAACCAAAGCAATGCTGTTTTGTTTTGTTTTGTTTCGCTTATTTTTTTGAGATGCAGTCTCTATCTGTGCCCCAGGCTAAAGTATAGTGGCACAATCCCGGCTCACTGCCACCTCCACCACCTGGGTTCAAGCGATTCTCCTGCCTCAGCTTTCCGAGTAGCTGGGATTACAGACACCCACCACCACGTCCGGCTAATTTTGTATTTTTAGTAAAGATGGGGTTTCTCCATGTTGGCCAGGCTGGTCACGAACTCCTGACCTCAGGTGATCCACCCACCTTGGCCTCCCAAATGCTGGGATTACAGGCCTAAGCCTCCGTGCCTGGCCTCCAATCCTTTGTGAATAATTATTTTAAGAGACAGGGTCTTGCTACTTGAGAAGCTGAGGCGGGAGGATTGCTTAAGCCTGGGAGGTCGAAGCTGCAGTGAGCCATGAACACACCACTGCACTCCAGCCTGGGCAATAGAGTGAGACCCTGTCTCAAAAAAAATTTTAAATAATAATAATTTTGGGGGGCGGAGCAAGATGGCCGAATAGGAACAGCTCCAGTCTCCAACTCCCAGCACGAGCGACACAGAAGACCGGTGATTTCTGCATTTTCAACTGAGGTACTGGGTTCATCTCACTGGGGAGTGCCGGACGATTGGTGCTGGTCAGCTGCTGCAGCCCGACCAGCGAGAGCTGAAGCAGGGCGAGGCTTTGCCTCACCTGGGAAGCGCAAGGGGGAAGGGAATCCCTTTTCCTAGCCAGGGGAACGGAGACACACAACACCTGGAAAATCGGGTAACTCCCACCCCAATACTGTGCTTTAAGCAAACAGGCACACCAGGAGATCATATCCCACACCTGGCTGGGAGGGTCCCACACCCACGGAGCCTCCCTCATTGCTAGCACAGCAGTCTGTGATCTACAGGCAAGGCAGCAGCGAGGCTGGGGGAGGGGCGCCCGCCATTGCTGAGGCTTAAGTAGGTAAACAAAGCTGCTGGGAAGCTCGAACTGGGTGGAGCTCACAGCAGCTCAAGGAAACCTGCCTGTCTCTGTAGACTCCACCTCTGGGGACAGGGCAATAACAAACACAGCCGAAACCTCTGCAGACGCAAACGACTCTGTCTGACAGCTTTGAAGAGAGCAGTGGATCTCCCAACACGGAGGTTGAGATCTGAGAAGGGACAGACTCCCTGCTCAAGTGGGTCCCTGACCCCTGAGTAGCCTAACTGGGAGACATCCCCCACTAGGGGCAGTCTGACACCCCACACCTCACAGGGTGGACTACACCCCTGAGAGGAAGCTTCCAAAGCAAGAATCAGACAGGTACACTCGCTGTTCAGAAATATTCTATCTTCTGCAGCCTCTGCTGCTGATACCCAGGCAAACAGGGTCTGGAGTGGACCTCAAGCAATCCCCAACAGACCTACAGCTGAGGGTCCTGACTGTTAGAAGGAAAACTATCAAACAGGAAGGACACGTACACCAAAACCCCATCAGTACATCACCATCATCAAAGACCAGAGGCAGATAAAACCACAAAGATGGGGAAAAAGCAGGGCAGAAAAGCTGGAAATTCAAAAAATAAGAGCGCATCTCCCCCGGCAAAGGAGCGCAGCTCATCGCCAGCAACGGATCAAAGCTGGACGGAGAATGACTTTGACGAGATGAGAGAAGAAAGCTTCAGTCCATCAAATTTCTCAGAGCTAAAAGAGGAATTACGTACCCAGCGCAAAGAAACTAAAAATCTTGAAAAAAAAGTGGAAGAATTGATGGCTAGAGTAATTAATGCAGAGAAGGTCATAAACGAAATGAAAGAGATGAAAACCATGACACGAGAAATACGTGACACATGCACAAGCTTCAGTAACTGACTCGATCAACTGGAAGAAAGAGTATCTGCGATTGAGGATCAAATGAATGAAATGAAGCGAGAAGAGAAACCAAAGGAAAAAAGAAGAAAAAGAAATGAACAAAGCCTGCCAGAAGTATGGGATTATGTAAAAAGACCAAATCTACGTCTGATTGGGGTGCCTGAAAGTGAGGGGGAAAATGGAACCAAGTTGGAAAACACTCTTCAGGATATCATCCAGGAGAACTTCCCCAACCTAGTAGGGCAGGCCAACATTCAAATCCAGGAAATACAGAGAACGCCACAAAGATACTCCTCGAGAAGAGCAACTCCAAGACACATAATTGCCAGATTCACCAAAGTGGAAATGAAGGAAAAAATCTTAAGGGCAGCCAGAGAGAAAGGTCGGGTTACCCACAAAGGGAAGCCCATCAGACTAACAGCAGATCTCTCGGCAGAAACTCTACAAGCCAGAAGAGAGTGGGGGCCAATATTCAACATTCTTAAAGAAAAGAATTTTAAACCCAGAATTTCATATCCAGCCAAACTAAGTTTCATAAGTGAAGGAGAAATAAAATCCTTTACAGATAAGCAAATGCTTAGAGATTTTGTCACCACTAGGCCTGCCTTACAAGAGACACTGAAGGAAGCACTCAACATGGAAAGGAACAACCGGTACCAGTCATTGCAAAAACATGCCAAAATGTAAAGACCATCGAGGCTAGGAAGAAACTGCATCAACTAACGAGCAAAATAACCAGTTAATATCATAATGGCAGGATTAAGTTCACACATAACAATCTTAACCTTAAATGTAAATGGACTAAATGCTCCAATTAAAAGACACAGACTGGCAAACTGGATAAAGAGTCAAGACCCATCAGTCTGCTGTATTCAGGAGACCCATCTCACACGCAGAGACATACATAGGCTCAAAATAAAGGGATGGAGGAAGATTTACCAAGCAAATGGAGAACAAAAAAAAGCGGGGGTTGCAATACTAGTCTCTGATAAAAACAGACTTTAAACCATCAAAGATCAAAAGAGACAAAGAAGGCCATTACATAATGGTAAAGGGATCAATTCAACAGGAAGAGCTAACTATCCTAAATATATATGCACCCAATACAGGAGCACCCAGATTCATAAAGCAAGTCCTTAGAGACTTACAAAGAGACTTAGACTCCCATACAATAATAATGGGAGACTTCAACACTCCACTGTCAACATTAGACAGATCAACGAGACAGAAAGTTAACAAGGATATCCAGGAATTGAACTCATCTCTGCAGCAAGCAGACCTAATAGACATCTATAGAACTCTCCACCCCAAATCAACAGAATATACATTCTTCTCAGCACCACATCGTACTTACTCCAAAATCGACCACGTAATTGGAAGTAAAGCATTCCTCAGCAAATGTACAAGAACAGAAATTATAACAAACTGTCTCTCAGACCACAGTGCAATCAAACTAGAACTCAGGACTAAGAAACTCAATCAAAACCGCTCAACTACATGGAAACTGAACAACCTGCTCCTGAATGACTACTGGGTACATAACGAAATGAAGGCAGAATTAAGATGTTCTTTGAAACCAATGAGAACAAAGATACAACATACCAGAATCTCTGGGACACATTTAAAGCAGTGTGTAGAGGGAAATTTATAGCACTAAATGCCCACAAGAGAAAGCAGGAAAGATCTAAAATTGACACTCTAACATCGCAATTAAAAGAACTAGAGAAGCAAGAGCAAACACATTCGAAAGCTAGCAGAAGGCTAGAAATAACTAAGATCAGAGCAGAACTGAAGGAGATAGAGACACAAAAAACTCTCCAAAAAATCAATGAATCCAGGAGTTGGTTTTTTGAAAAGATCAACAAAATTGACAGACCACTAGCAAGACTAATAAAGAAGAAAAGAGAGAAGAATCAAATCGACGCAATTAAAAATGATAAAGGGGATATCACCACCGACCCCACAGAAATACAAACTACCATCAGAGAATACTATAAACACCTCTACGCAAATAAACTGGAAAATCTAGAAGAAATGGATAATTTCCTGGACACTTACACTCTTCCAAGACTAAACCAGGAAGAAGTTGAATCCCTGAATAGACCAATAGCAGGCTCTGAAATTGAGGCAATAATTAATAGCCTACCAACCAAAAAAAGTCCAGGACCAGATGGATTCACAGCTGAATTCTACCAGAGGTACAAGGAGGAGTTGGTACCATTCCTTCTGAAACTATTCCAATCAATAGAAAAAGAGGGAATCCTCCCTAACTCATTTTATGAGGCCAACATCATTCTGATACCAAAGCCTGGCAGAGACACAACAAAAAAAGAGAATTTTAGACCAATATCCCTGATGAACATCGATGCAAAAATCCTCAATAAAATACTGGCAAACCGGATTCAGCAACACATCAAAAAGCTTATCCACCATGATCAAGTGGGCTTCATCCCTGGGATGCAAGGCTGGTTCAACATTCGCAAATCAATAAACATAATCCAGCATATAAACAGAACCAAAGACAAGAACCACATGATTATCTCAATAGATGCAGAAAAGGCTTTTGACAAAATTCAACAGCCCTTCATGCTAAAAACGCTCAATAAATTCGGTATTGATGGAACGTACCTCAAAATAATAAGAGCTATTTATGACAAACCCACAGCCAATATCATACTGAATGGGCAAAAACTGGAAAAATTCCCTTTGAAAACTGGCACAAGACAGGGATGCCCTCTCTCACCACTCCTATTCAACATAGTGTTGGAAGTTCTGGCTAGGGCAATTAGGCAAGAGAAAGAAATCAAGGG